ACGTCAAGGAATGCGCTTAGACAACAGCTCACATAACCCTTTTCGAATCTGGACTTGATGACTGCCAGGCAGAAGCTCCGGGCGAGACCATGGCTCAGCCACAACCAGCAAACTGACACACATGAGTAGCGTTTTTGGTGGTTAAACCCTGTAAGATATGTTATATTCCTTATATAAAATACTATACCTCAAAAGAAGGATATAATCTTACTCTATGTTGGGTACCATAATATCCCCAGATAAAATACTACTCACATGGCCATGCCAAGTCTGAGAGAAGGCGTACCACGTTCATACAAGCCCATGAGCCCTCGAAATTTCAGACGTGTTCTGCGACACATGCGGCTGCAGCACATCCAAAAAAGGACTCTTGCGAGCCTTAAACCCTTAACCCTAAACTCGTAGTTTCCATTTTCCTTTTCATTATACAGTACCCATGGGCTCTCCCAGGACATTTGGAGCTCACATAGTGCGGCAAGACACGTCAATGAAGGGGTTGTGTCGGGCAGCCCCAGGACAGTGGCAATTTGGTTGCATTCCTTTCCACAGGGGTTCTACAGAGATGTAGGGCTTAGGGCATTAGGGTTTTAGGGATTGGGGTTTAAGGGTTTGGGGCTGAGTGTTTTGGGGTTTGAGGTTTGTACCACAAGGGTCCTACAGGGGTGTCAGGGTTTAAGGCTTAGGGGGATACACTACACCCTACGGGGTCAATACAAGGGTGTTGTAGAAGGTATATACGCTATAATCCATACTCCCAGTATCCCCTTGATGACCCCTATAATTGTCCCCTATATAACCCCGTTTAAGGAGTTTAGACTATACCTCATATAACCCTAATCCCTACAAACTACCCTGTAGTCCCAGTTTCCATTTGATTTTCCACTTTCTTTTCCATTTGATTCGCCATCATTGGGGGCCCTTTAGGGAGTTTAGACTATGGCTCATATACAGATGTGCCATGCCTTCTTGGCTGGGAGGTTCAGGGCAGTCTTCATATGGATACTACAAGCTCAGGAGGGCTCAATAGGGCTGTATAGGGAGTATGTGATTATGCCTGTTGGGATAATATAGGAATTGTATAGTCAGGGATATCAAACCAATAATGCAAAATCTTATGGGGATATAACATATCCCAATAATGCAGAATCGAACGGAAGATGAAATAGAAACTGTGCATACAGGAGGGTTGGGGGATATTACCCAACAATAGAGAATCAATTGGAGATGAAGGGTACCTGGGTGGTTTGTAGGGGCCCGGGTTTCCCTCGTTCCTTGCCACATGTCATAGACACCATTGCAGCTGCGAAGGCCCGTTGAGGGAGTTGCCAGTCACAACTAGAGCCATGGGCTCTTTGGCCTACATCTGTTCTCAGATACATGAGTGCTCGAAATACCTCTAGCGACGTCATACATTCCAAACTTCCTACCTCATGCTCATGCTATCGAAGGCAAGCCACAGAAATTCCTCTTGCAGATGCGCAACTCCGGCCCGCCAGTGACTGATGTGAGCCTTATAGACACATTTGAACCTCCGCAAGCCTCTCCCCAAAAACCAAGGTGGCATCCTGCAACAAGAGGCATGCCTAAATGCTGAGTCAGGCAATGGAACAACTGAGGTTCCCGCGGCAAGTGAGATCTGAAACTGCAGCAACACCAGCAAGGTCGCAAACATCTGAGTGCTTCTGATTCGTTCGCCTTGGCTTTGCAACTTGCACCCTCGCGGCCAGCACACGCATGTCTGAGTGCTCTTGGATGCAGCCATAATGCTGAGCACCACAACCTGGGTTGCTGTTAAGGAACTTAATTTAAGTCACCATAATGGGTATGTATAGTGATTGGTACGGTTTCCCCAATATAAGAACTTAAATTAAGTTCCTTAACAGCAATCCAGCAACTTGGGGAGGTTGTGGGACACCAGGATCTAGCCCCGCTGTCCGGTGTTGTACAGCAACCTCGCCTGTGCCCGCCACAAATCATGCTGCTGTCACCCTGATCCATTTCCCAGCCCACTTGGCAATAGCCTGGGTTGCAGTTAAGGAACTAAAATCAACTTACTATCATAACGAAACCCTATTAATAATCTACAGTATAGCCAGCTTATGGCAAACGTAGCTGAATTTAAGTTCCTTAACCGCGACCCAGCAGCAGCCACTGCGGGTCGGCATCCCCCGCGCCAAGTGGCAGGTCGCTCTGCGAAAGTTGGGTTGCCAGCGGGAAGCGCGCCGCAGGAAGCAACACTGAGCCGTATCCGGGTCACCGCGGACATGGGTGAAGAAGGTGAAGCCCACACAGTTTCCCAGTCTAGTGCACATCACCCGGCAAACCTCCCAAGCCGCCTCATAGTCCAAAGGACCATGTTGCACAGGCATGCCGACGAGCTTTGGCACCTTTGGTGCGCGCCACTTGTGTTTTGACACTTTATTTGCAAGGGGCGCAGTTCAGATTTATATGTGCGAGCACGGCGTGCAACCTGAAAATCTCTGCATATGATTTACAGATTCTCTGGTGACATACGCCATGACCCTCCCCAAGGGCATGTAGAGTGTCAAGCGAAGTCACTACGTTGACACATGCGCCTGCACAAACATATGTAATTCAACTACGACTTTTAACCTCACATCACTTTGGCCTAGGGGCCACACCGAGGTGCCGCACACTCCTATCCGATTCCCCGCAGATCCCCACAATTGACGCAGCTGGAAGATTGCTTCCGTGACTTCTATCCGTCTACCGTCTACCTGTCAGGTCTTCAGCTACTGCTGCCGGGCTAGACACAACAGTATTGACAACATGAGAAAAGAACTGGAAAATCAAATGGAAACTGGGAATATATTAGGGCCTATACTAACAATGGAACTTCAAATTCGAAAGAACATGGAAAATGAAACTGGAACTGGAGTTCTACAGGGGGCTTTCTGAGGCTAATCGGATAATCACCTCTTTCTTGGAGACCTCTCTCTCTCTCTCTCTCTCTCTCTCTCTGCTCAGACACCAATGCCTTGAACTCAAAATCCCGTGTGATCCCTGTTTCCATGTAATGTTCCATGTTGTCCGCTCATTTGATTCTTTATTATTGGTATAAACCATATAAAACTGTGGTGAGGTTAATGTTATGCAAACCATGAGGAATTTCTGGAGCAAAACAGCCACAACAGTCAGCAGCAAGACACAAGGGTCTTCACACAGATAACAGGGCAAAGTCCAAAATGGCAAAGGGTGGCCTGGGATCCTTCCCATGCATAGAGGCATATCCTCAAAGATTCCATATATCTATCTTTACTATATTTACCCTTATACTCCTTGTATTTTGCCTCTGCCGGACTAGTCTGACCTGCCAAGACGCTACGGAACTGGCCACCAAAGCCACAGAGGAAGAGTTCATCGCCACGCAATGAGGTGTCCCCGTCCTGTTGCTAGGCCTGACATGAAGCAGCGTTGCATAATAGTAAGAATAATCATAACGATAAAAAAATAGTGCTAGCACGTATGGCAAGAGTGGAAACACTAATAATGGTAATACTCATACTCATTATAATGGGAATAGCACTATAAAAAAAAAAAAGAAAAGTGATAAATAATGACAATAACCATAAGAATAAAGAATAGCAGTTATGATAATAATACCAACAATTCTAATTGAGCAGCTTCAAGGACGTGCAGTCGAGCGGCTCAACCAGCCAGGCGCCCTGCTGCACTTCTCCCGGAGTCAGTTGTCTGTTTGTTCCGGCACAGCCTGCCAAGCAAAGGAAGTGTGAGCTATAGACTAAAGCTTCTAGTATCCCCCTTGATAGCCGCTAGTATAAGTTTGTTTGTTGCAACCCTTGGGAATTTTACGTCTGCCCGGCTCGGCAAAGGGTTCCTAGTATAAGGTTTAGGGTTTAGGGTCTAAACTCCTAGTATCCCCCTTGATCAACCCTCTAGTAGTCCCCTATATGTAACCCCGCTCTCCGGAGCTGAGACTGTAGCTTTTATGGTGCACACTGGCCCAGAGTCCCTGATTTGTGGACAAGGCGCAACAGACCACCCCCCACCACAAAATATGCCTCTTGAAATATAATGGCATTATCATTACGGGGGTTATCGTTGGGGGGTGGGAGATAGGTTTTAGGGACCCTAAACCCTAAACCAAGCAGCATCCAGCTAGAGCCAAGAAGCGCGTGTTCTCTTCGACGGCCCAGCATACTTGTGTTGAACCTTGGGCTCTGCTCCCTTTTCCACACTTGGGGGTTTCCCAAAATTAAGGGTGCCTTCAATGCAGATATAGGGGTTATACAGGGGAATATAAGGTTTCTTCTGGGTGGGTATATAAGGTTTAGGATGTAGGGATTGGGGTTTGAGGTGTCCCAAAATTCGGGGTACCTTTTTGGGGGGTTCCTATAACAAGGATTATAACATTTTGGGGTCTATATTGGGGTCCCACTATTGTGGGAAGCTGCCAGTTCTCTGACAAACCCCTTGTCCGAAACATTTGGTGCCTGGTCTCAGTTTTCTACGCATATATCCAATCTGAATCCTGAATCCTAACGATGATCTCCCTAAAACCTACAGCAAGCCCGCGAGAGTGACCTTGGCCCTGCATGACCGGCTCATGCCTGCTATCACCATTAACTGGGTTGCTGTTAAGGAACTTAAATTAAGTTACTGTATTGGGGAAACCCTAACTTACTATATATACCCATGATGGTAACTTAATTTAAGTTCCTTAACAGCAACCCAGATTAAGAACCGTGTGCTTCTGATGTTCCGGGTCATGAACGATTTTGTCCGTCTGCTGTCTCGGACTGATGCATGGGGGCTTGACATAAACCTGCTGCTAAAAGGACATTAGAGGGGCACAGGGTGCTTGCTCATTGACAATTGCATTCTTGCGATGTTAAGGGTCATGCAGGACTTGTCCACCATCCGTAATGCAAGCCTCAACCAGCACGAAATTAGGAATCTCAATGCAGCAAGACTAGCTAAAGCAACTGCCTCAAACTTCTCTCTTTACACCCAGACACATGGTTCCGAAGAATGCGGTTCCTGCCATAGGGATGCCATGACATTGGTAGTCACGATAGAGTACCACTATCTAATAAAGGGGATATGCCGGATATGCATCAAGTGTGGCGCAGCAGGGTTTCACCCTAAACCCTGAATAATATGGGAGCTTCCGGTTGCTTTCCATTCCCCCAAATAATCCTACATAGCTATGGCTATGAATCCCTGTGTAGGCCAGTCTAACTCTAGTTCCATTTCATTATCCCATAGCATTGCCCGTTTGATTCTCCACCGTGGGCGTTCCAAATTCTATACAACCCCAATATAGTCTCTACTTAATCCCGAAATCGCCCCATGTATGTTCCATTTTGATTTTCCATTCCCATATATAACCCCATCTTCTTTGTGACCCCCATGAGCCATAGCCAATACTTCCGGGAGAGCTAATGGACATGGGTTTCTTACTAGGGATATGTCCAGGACTATACTACACTACAATAGGGACGCCTATGTCCACTGCTTAGGGTTCCTTAAAAAGGCTAACATTAACAGTGTCTTAACTCCCAGTATGCCCCTTAGTAACCCCTGTAATACTCCCCTATATCACTCCTCTTTAAGGACTTTAAACCCTCAACCCTTCACCCTAAGCCCTTATATGGCTCCCTCACCCTCACCCTCAACTAGCTCATATGAGCTATAGTCTAACCTCCTAGTATCCCCCTTAATACCCCCTTATAACAGTCCCCTGAATAATCCCCTATATAACCCCCTTTGAGGAGTTTGGACCCTAAACCCTAAACCTGAAACCATGCCCTACATATAGTTCTCCCTTAAGTAGATAGAATATGGCTTTGGGTATATTATAATAAGGCCCCCATATACCCCATATTCAATCTACTTAAGGGGGACTATAACCCTAAACTCTGTTGCAACGGGCCTTCCTGAGCTCCACCCTGTCAAGCAGCACTCTGCTCTCACCGCTTCTTCAAAGCAGTCGAAAGAAGCGGTGAGAGCAGTCGAAAACCCTAAACCCTATAACCCCTACATAACCCCTATATCCCTAAA